AAAAAAAAAAGAAAAAAAAAGAGAAAAAGAAACTTGATTTGGATAGTTTACGCCACCACTTCGCAGACGGTCCAAGTGTACTGAGAAGTGCTGCCGACAGATGGCGTACCCGGCGTCGAGGGAGCATACTGAGAGATTTTGGCCTTCTTAAGGAGATTTTGACAGCCTGGCAACCACAGCAGCGTAGTCTGACAACCGGGGGATGACTCCTTCCGTCCAGCATTTTGGGTCCCTGACTCATAGAAACTTAATACTTAATAGTTTAGTTTATTTCCATGAAGCATGGTGGAGCAAAGGGTAAAAGCCTCAAAGGAGGCTTGACCAGCTCTCGGCCCCGTACATTGGCATTGCAGCGAAAAAAAAAAAATTATATATATATATATATATATATATATATATATATATATAACGAAAGTGGAGGAGATTCAGGAAAGGCCTTTCTTTACTGCACCGACGTTTCAAGCGGGGACCGCTTTTCTTCAGGGTGAATGGTTGTGAAATGTCCTCTTCTTTTTGTTGATGTTCGTGTGGAAGAGGAAGAGTTACTATGAAGGGTATTAAAAATATTCAGAACAGGAGCAAAAAAATTATCGTAAATCTTTGAAATTAGTAATTATAAACAATGTTAATACAATTCAATAAAACGAAATAAATTGATTTGTAGTATTTGGCACAGTCTTTGTTACAGCTCCTGAGCACAATCACCCCCGAGCAACCGGAGCGCACACAAAAGTAGCAATGAGGATGTGTTCGGGATTAGCACCGCTTCGGGAGCGGAGATCTAGACCACGCAAGGGTGCCGTGGCGGTTTTTTATGAAGTATTTATGTCATATTTGAATTATGGTTACGCGCCCAAGAATTTAACGCAGCGGAAGGATTACCACGGGACGCACGCTCACGAGGATGTTCACGAGAGGCGTGGAACGAGCTCACGATGGCAGGCGCCTTTGGTGCAACAATGTCATCGACACGCTCGGCTAGTACAGTCCGTGCAAAACCAAAATAATTGTGTGGCCTCGGCCCTACACACAGCGTGGCAGCCAAGTGAGCACGCCTGGACTTGCATTAATACCACAAGCAACCGAATTGAATTTGTGAATGAAAAAAGCCTCCTTCAACTCTCTGTCGTGATCAGAGCTAAATCCAGATTCCAGAAGGATGACACGTATTTTTTCAATGCTATGCTCTTTAAGATGCATGTGTTTTGAGAAGGGGAGCGTGGGTAAGGACTTGATATGAGACTTGTGATTGTTGAAGCGCAACCGAAATGAAGTACTGGTTTGTCCTATATAATCCATGTTACATAGTTTACAGCGTAAAAGATAAATAACGTTACGCGTACCGCAGTTGAGGTTACCAGTGATTTTGAAAGAAAAGCCAGAGTTCGCGCTAGTGACAAGATTGGTGGTTTCGACATATTCACAAATTTCACACCTGGGCGTCTGGCAAGGTCTACAACCAGAAACGTCAGAAGTTCTATTTTTCGAGTGCACCAATATGTCCTTAAGGTTTCTACCTCGTCGATATACCACGCGTGGTGATACCGGAAAAAGGGTGCGTAATTTATCGCTTTGCTGCAAAATACTGTGATGTTTCCTGAGAATATTGTTTAAATTTGGAAGGCGGGCTGAATATGTAACCACCAGGTTGGCGTGCTCGTTTTGTGACATTTTGGGTTGGGGTTGATTGATAACTTGCTCTCCGGAGATTCCGGAGAATATGCTCCAGTTTAGATGAATTCGAACGCAACGCCAGCAATCTGAAACTCGTGCTATCCAAGCAGAATTATCCACCAGCCATTGTCGATAAAGCCATTGAAAAAGCACGTGCTCTCGACCGAGAGCAAGTTATCAATCAACCCCAACCCAAAATGTCACAAAACGAGCACGCCAACCTGGTAATTACATATTCAGCCCGCCTTCCAAATTTAAACAATATTCTCAGAAAACATCACAGTATTTTGCAGCAAAGCGATAAATTACGCACCCTTTTTCCGGTATCACCACGCGTGGTATATCGACGAGGTAGAAACCTTAAGGACATATTGGTGCACTCGAAAAATAGAACTTCTGACGTTTCTGGTTGTAGACCTTGCCAGACGCCCAGGTGTGAAATTTGTGAATATGTCGAAACCACCAATCTTGTCACTAGCGCGAACTCTGGCTTTTCTTTCAAAATCACTGGAAACCTCAACTGCGGTACGCGTAACGTTATTTATCTTTTACGCTGTAAACTATGTAACATGGATTATATAGGACAAACCAGTACTTCATTTCGGTTGCGCTTCAACAATCACAAGTCTCATATCAAGTCCTTACCCACGCTCCGCTTCTCAAAACACATGCATCTTAAAGAGCATAGCATTGAAAAAATACGTGTCATCCTTCTGGAATCTGGATTTAGCTCTGATCACGACAGAGAGTTGAAGGAGGCTTTTTTCATTCACAAATTCAATTCGGTTGCTTGTGGTATTAATGCAAGTCCAGGCGTGCTCACTTGGCTGCCACGCTGTGTGTAGGGCCGAGGCCACACAATTATTTTGGTTTTGCACGGACTGTACTAGCCGAGCGTGTCGATGACATTGTTGCACCAAAGGCGCCTGCCATCGTGAGCTCGTTCCACGCCTCTCGTGAACATCCTCGTGAGCGTGCGTCCCGTGGTAATCCTTCCGCTGCGTTAAATTCTTGGGCGCGTAACCATAATTCAAATATGACATAAATACTTCATAAAAAACCGCCACGGCACCCTTGCGTGGTCTAGATCTCCGCTCCCGAAGCGGTGCTAATCCCGAACACATTCTCATTGCTACTTTTGTGTGCGCTCCGGTTGCTCGGGGGTGATTGTGCTCAGGAGCTGTAACAAAGACTGTGCCAAATACTACAAATCAATTTATTTCGTTTTATTGAATTGTATTAACATTGTTTATAACTACTAATTTCAAAGATTTACGATAATTTTTTTGCTCCTGTTCTGAATATTTTTAATACCCTTCATAGTAACTCTTCCTCTTCCACACGAACATCAACAAGAAGAAGAGGACATTTCACAACCATTCACCCTGAAGAAAAGCGGTCCCCGCTTGAAACGTCGGTGCAGTAAAGAAAGGCCTTTCCTGGATCTCCTCCACTTTCGTTTTACGTCCAACCGGCCCGTTGAACCTTCTTACCGTATATATATATATATATATATATATATATATATATACATATATATATACACACACATATATATATGTATAGTATATGCACCAGATTACAAAACAGCATTAGTCACCTAAAGAGATGGCGAGCACAGTCATTGCAGACAGAAATAAAAAAAAAAAAAACACAAAAAGAGTGCATTCTGTATAGCATAAACAAATTAATGAATCATTTGAGAGGGGGAGGTAAATCACTGCTACATATAAAGAGAACGCAAAGCCTTGAAGGAGATAGAGTCAATGCAAATTTCTTTTTCTAGAAGGAAATTTAACAGTTTTGGTATGGTATGTCGCAACATTTGCCTACCATAGTTAGTAGAACAGTAAACAACCTTCCAATACTCCATGTGTCTAGTTAAGTGAACGTGTAGATTTGGTGTCAATGCCCACTAGAGTTGACAACAATTTATAATGTTTCTTTTTTTCTGATTTTAAACTCAGAACCAATCTATATTTATAAAGGCTATGAATTTTTCATAAGCTAAACTTCTTAAACAAACTGCCGGTATGGAAATCATAAGGCACGTTGCATATTATTCTAACCATTTTTTTTCTGCAGTAAAAATAATTTTTGCAGGTTTGTGAATGTGGTGTTACCCCAGACGAGGTTGCAGTAGCTGAGATGTGAATATATAATAAGGAATTGTAAATTAAAAGCTTCACACTGACTGGGAGTGTTTTGCCGTTACGGAATGTCAGACCTATGATGGTAGATAATTTTGCAAGTGAGTGGTTAATGTGACTGTCCCACAACATATGTTCCGAAAATATGACTCCAAGGCTTTTAAAATTACTGACAATTCCAATTGGCGTATTGTCAAGCACAATGCTTCTCCTTAGATTTACGCACTTATTTTTGGGTCGAAAAATGATAGCTTTAGTTTTATCAGTATTATTTTTAAGCAGTTATCTTTTGCCCACACCCCCAGTTTGGACAAAGTGTCATTATGTGATTTCTCGGGAATAAAGAAGACAAAGAACTAACGCCATTTTGTGTGATCGCGAAATCCGCTGGTTCTGGCGGGCAACAAGCTCCGCCCTTTGGCCAAACTCTTTCAGTATAAACGGCTCTGCGAGGGAGCGCCGGCAGATTCGGGTAATGATAGCAGACGACCCCACAAAAGAACCCGAATCGGAAGGTGCTCCCTCGTCGCGGCGTGCGCTATCTGTTGGCAGCATTTCTCACTACCCGTGCGTCACCTGCCAATAATTTTTTTTATTTTATTTTTATTTTTAACGAGTTTATTCATTTTTATTTTTTCACTGTAAACATCCACTACCTGCTTGCTCCTCTGTAGTAAATTACAGCACGATTCGCTGAGAAACCCATTTTTACGGGCAGTCTGAATTGCCCTACATGCGTTAGTTTACAGGCTGGACGTGAGGGAAAGGCGTGATGATGGGGCAGCCAAGCACGCGGCGTTATTGGGGTGAAAAAAAAAACACGTGGGTGAACTTGGCGGATGAACAAACACGTAATTTTCGCAAGTAGCAGACGAACTTGCACGTCGTATACCCTGTGATGAAACAGTGGCTCTGCCATCGATTTATACAGTTTGCCAGAGCACTATAGTCAACACCGTTACACACCCATGGTGCACGGCTGCGCAAGCTCACGAGTAATTGGAATAAATCTTGCATATAAATCCTCGAGGTCACTCTAACGACGTTGTGAAAGAATGACACAACCATTAAAAACAGTAATCAGAACTTTAATTTACATAGGATGCCCTACCCGCCCTTCCCGTGTAACCGTTCGGTCCAATGCTATGATTCAAACGTTTCGTCGATGAGCTAGTGTCATTGCAGAGTCAGGCAGAGTTCTGGTCGTCTTCGGAACCAGACTTTGTTGCCGCCCTTGTCTTTCACGATCACTTCGTAGGCAACATTGAGTTGATCCATTGGAATTTTGCATTCGACTTGGTACTTACGAAGCACCTTCGCCAGTATTAGTTTCATCTCCATCATTGCAAATTTCTGCCCTGAAAGCAGAAAAAAAAGAAAGGTTTTCTTTACAACTATTGCAGTCAAAAGGTGTCTTCTTTTGGCGAATTACGAAAGTACAAAGAAATGAAAAGAAGAAGGCGGGGGGAGGGGGGGGGGGGGTAACGACTGTTCCCAATTTGGCTGGCTCATTCGAAGCTGAAACACCATAACCGTTCATTCACACTGGAAGCGGATCCGCGTTCGCAAAGTGGTTGTGAACGCGGTTGTATAAAGATCCAGTACAATTGCACGCGCCCTTGATGTCATCGAGTGCGCGTGCAATTGTACTGGATCTTTATACAACCGCGTTCGCAACCGCTTTGCGAACGCGGATCCGCTTCCAGTGTGAATGAGCGGTAAGGTGTTTCTGCTTGGCACACCAAACACTGGAGGATAATATTTATTTGTTTTCTAAAACGCTGAGAGGTTACTCATATGCTAAAACATTACGAATCTTAGTGAAATTTGTTTTCTTCTATATAATTAAACGTTTTTTTTCTAGCACATCTTTATGAAACGAACAGAGAAAGACGCCCGCGGTTTATACAATGGTAACCTCTCTTTAGCTCAGCGATGGCAGACGAGAGTAACACTATTTGGTTCAACAAAACTTTCGTTATAATTATTTTACGCACAGTTATATATAGGGCGTTTGAAATGCTGAGGCTCGAACTAAAATAGGTTGACAATATCGGCTCTTGCACAGAGCGATCTAAACTTTTCGTCAGAGGTGTATTTCACAAGAGGGTTTTACCTTGCAAAATTATAAGGCCCAGTTTCCTTTCTGCAAACTATAAGTCCAAAAATCTATCCAGGGTTGACGGAGAACTTCGACGCAGAGGACGGAGTTTAGTGTCGGGGCGCGTTCGGCGCACCTATTGATAGATGGCACTATACTTTCTTGTTCCGGCTTGCTTTAAAAAAAAATATATCCAGACCACCCTCCAAGACCGTGGTCTATTAAAATTAGCGTAGTATTTTTGTAACATACCTTTGGTTTAAACAAAAAAATGCGGGTAATGACAGCAAAACTTAAAGTAACAACAAAAAAAAAAAAACGCGATTGCATGATGCCGGTTTTGCTGCCGACGGATTTCGTCTGCGTGTCGTCAGTTTAATTAGCTGGTCGACTACACCTCCCAACGCTGCTCCCTAGGCCATCTATCAAAATATGCGTAAACGCGGTCCGCCACTCGACTCGGTCGCCTGTGTCGCCGCCCGCCGTTGACCCAAGCAATTTTTTTGGCCCAATCCTTTTGCATAAAAAGAGATGCGTCTTGTAAATTTACAAGGTAAAACCAACCCGTCCAATACAGCTTCGCCAAAATATTTAGATTGCTACAGGCAGGCGTCGATTTTTACGGGTAATTTTAGACCGAGCCTTGGCATTTCAGACACCCTATATAGTCAGTGACTGCGTAAGAAACGCAGGGCGTATACCGAGACTTGAACACCTCGTTATCACTCCGCAGCCAATGAGTCTGCGCTATTGGCCAATAGAACGCCAAAGAAAGAATCACGAAGTGAGACGCGTGAACATAATATGCAACGCCTTGCGCTTCTTAAGATGTCCGTGACCACAGGGATGCATTTCTTTGAAATCTCAAATTAAACCTCTAAGCGTACCGATGCAGTTCTTGGAGCCCCCAGAGAAGGGAATGTAGCTGAACGGGTGCCGGGCTTTGATCTCTTCGGACATGAACCTTTCCGGGATAAAGGATTCGGGATCTTTGAAGTATTTGGGATTGCGGTGGAGGCTGTATAGGCTTATAAAGCACATCACGCCTTCTGGTACCTTGTAGCCACCTAAAGAACAGCAACAGAAAAAAAAAGCAATAGACGTATGTCGTGACGTTGCAAGACTTCTTTCAACAAGCGCGCCATCGCTCTCGCGCTAACTATCAAGCGCTCGAGCCATATCTCTTCAAACTGCTTGCACTCTAATGGGCTTACTTTTTGCTTTAAGAGGAAGAAAATTAAGTGTTTAATGGCACAGCGGTAACTAAGGCCATAATGTGCCAAACACATATTTACTATAAGAAAACAGGACGGTAGTCGGACCTGACAGAAAAAATCTAAAGGAATATCAAGGGTGCCAATAGACAACTGATGTTTCGCAAAAAGAGAAAAATAAATAAAAATATGTAAATTGAAAAGGTAAATTTGTGTTTTGCGAAACGTTTTTTGTTTCTTTAAAGTGGTTTTCAAATAAATTTTGGGGTGGGATGAATAATTTTAGATTAGAATTTTACTAATCGCATATAATTCAGGGGGTCAAAATAATTTTCGGTACGAAAATTCGAAACTATAGCGGACTATTTCGTACCACCTTTCTATTAAAAGGTTTCCGCCTTTTCACTGTGAACATCTGCGGTACCCAAAGCATGTCAGCCGAGCCCAGCTCAGGCATTGCACACGAGCACTTCGTCACTCGAACGTATGTACATGCTCGTCAACAATCAATCCGTCGACGAATATTTGAATTCGCGTTCGTGGGAAATGAGTGCCGTGGCGGCACTTGTCATCGCTTGCGATTGACATGTTCTCTAATGTACTTAAGAAGGGCGGTGGAAGCTTGGCGTCCTCGTATCGGTGCCGAAGCACGTCACGACTGCGTTGAAAAATTATTTCGTGGCCCCTTTAAGGCTAGATAAGGATTTTTTTTTTCAGTCTGTCATAATAAAATATGCTAAAAACACAAAAAATCACGATTTTTTGAAAATAAATAAATATGTTTGATTGATTTAAATCATATTAATTTGTTTTAGATTACTATAGCTCCAAAACAGTATTTTTTTATTAGGATATGTTTCTTTAAATATGGCAGATTAATTAACCAATGGAGGCAAAAATACTCCAAAAGCCAGGAGACGTCATAATTAAAATAAAAACACCGACTTGACATAACACAAAATATTCCTACCAATGGAGGTAGGAATCTTCTTGAGGCGGCAAGACGCTCGAGTTGTGAAGCCGGGGGAAACTTCCGGTTGGAGGGGCACGCCCTCAACGACGATCAAAACCAAAAGACGCTATTGGACTTGGGAACCCTCGGGCGCTATTGGACGGACTTGGGCGCCCTCAGGCGTGTGCTCACCGATCGCGACCTCTACTTCCGGCTTTACTTGGAATTTTTTTATTTTTCGCAGGTTTGAGCCAGTATGTCGCCTCCTCTTATTTCTGCCTCAATAAATTCGCCAACCTTTCCAATGACTCATATTAAAGCGGAAGCAAGAATTACTCTAAGTATAAAGTACTTCAATGAATGTTTTCTTTATGTAAACCCGCCTGATGAGGACAAACGCTGCTAGAGTTTTGGTTAGTTATAAATCTCTATCTGCTCTCTGTTTCGCTTTCTTATCTGCTTGCAATATGACGTTACTCTCCTAGTTTTCATTTTTCTCGCATTGTCGTTTGCTTGACGTAACTTACGTATAAAGTGGAAGGAAGAAAAGAAAGCTCAACGCTCGGATTGCTCATAACGGAATCGCGTTTTTCTCGTTTTCAGCCTGATATAAATATTTATTCCCTACTGATTTTTTCATCTAAATAAAACCAATTCACGTATAAAACATCACTTAGTGGATACACGGCGAATAAAAAGTAATATTGGGGAATTATTTTTGTAAGAAAGTTTTGATTTAAAGCATTATAATAAAACTGCTCTTATAGAAATTATGTTCTAACCGCAATTTAAATCAGTATTGAAATCATCTTGATTTTTATGCTACCACGTTTGAGGAAGTCAGTCACACGTGTTTTGAACAAATTTCATGATGTAACCGTTCGAATAACCGTTCCTTTGTACACGGATGAACGCATACATGCTCCATCTGGTATTGTGCACGAAAAACAGCGGGGTGCAAACAAGAAACAAAAACAAAAAAAAGTTAATGTTTCAATAAAGTTTAGGCGTCGGCCTCGTGCCCCCCTGCACCTACAAGGAGTATTGACGATTGAAAAAGTATTACCAGCATAGGTGTCAGCTAGATAGTGCATTAATGCTCACCCAAGATGAGATCTTCATCGAGTACCCTTCCGATCAGGGGGAAAGCAGGATACAGCCTCAAGGACTCCTAAAACAGGGCGAGTAAAGAGATCATGTCGTTACGTAGCTCAGGCAGCATGTCCAGGACGAGTTCGAACCTTCAAACAGCATTCCAGATACTTCATTTTTCTGAGGTCGTCTGCGGTGATCTCGCCGTCGAGGTTGCCGCCGAATATTCCGTCAAGCTCCACATGAACCTTCCTTTGAGCGTCTCTGTTGTGGGCGAGCAGGTTCAACGTCCAGCACGTTGACGTCGTGAGAGTATCGTTTCCCTAAAAGAAAAAGAAAAAAAAAAGAGAAAAACACATATATTTTGGTATATAGTTGACATCGCCAAACATTCATCAAACACTCGCACACCAATCATAAATAGTTATAATTAAGGTAAGTGAGTGAAAACTTAAAGGACGCTGAAGCTTCGCCCTTAAGAGTGAAACGGAATAGCGTTATCGGGCCCCGATCACATCGCCTTCTTATTCACCTCTCATGCTATTATTGCCGGTGATCAGGAAGTGTGGCGGACATGGCCTATAGTCGGTAGCGTGTCTTGCTCGCCACCGAAGAGTTGTAGCTTCGAATCCTGCCTAAAATTCTTCAAACTTTTGCTTTAAGTCAAATGAATTAATTTCTAAAGCAAAATCTTTTGAGACACACGGCGACCTTTAATGCACATTAGGTGACATCTTTTGTTATTCACTTTCTTTACACGCGTGTCGTCACCTCTCACGTGAGCTTTTGTGGGTTCGAAATTCCCTCGCGTGGTCACGTTGCTCTGACGTCATGACCTTATCGACCAATCAGGATTTTTCCGTCACAACGCCACCAAGGCTTTTTTGCGACACTAGCTCCTTATGGCTACCTATTTAAAACGTGTCATTTAATGAATGCAATCAGTCTACTGCCCAGTGGTATCGGGTGAAAAAAAAAAAAAAGTGTTAGACGGAGCCCTCGAGACCCCCCTTCCGAAAGTACGTGAAATGATAACTCCGTGACTGGTTTATGGCGCGTTTACACTTCGGATTCGCGGGGCGCAGGAGGAAAGCGGATGTTGGAGACGGGTGGTGAAATTGACTCGTCACTGGTGGAAAATTTGGATAAGTCCGGGACCCGTATCCCAGAATTTCCGCCAGCGACGAGTCGATTTCGCCACCCTGCTCCAAAATCCACGTACCGTCCGCGCAGAACCGCCGCGCGAATCCGCAAGTGTAAACGCGCCGTTGGAGAAGGGGGAAGGAGTAGGAACTCCCCTTTTACTTTTCTTCTTGTGCCCCAGACGTCACTTTTGTCCCCTTACGGATATTAGTGTGTCACTCTAGCCCCTTCCCCTGGCAAATAGCGAGCGCTCGGCGCGCGCTCGCCGAGCGGATTCTTGTTTCCCTCGCGAGATGAGAGCAATCTCTCCGCGTGTGCCGCTTGTAGATCTGGAGCCAGTGGGGCGCTCGCCGAGCGGCTCCAACCGCTCCGTGGAAAAGTGGCGGAGCGCGTCGAGCGGTCCGGAGTAGTTCTGCGCGCAGCCTTTTTCGGAGGAGTGCGATCTGTGGTCGTTTCTCGCAACGTTTCAGTTTCGTTATCGACATTCCCGCGGGGGAGTGAAGGAGTTTCGCGGCTTTTTTGTTTCGAATGCTGGGTGGGCTCCCTTGTTGTGCTTGTTTTCGTTCCCCTCCTCATGACCGACTCGCCCGAGCCTACTGCGGCGATGACATCGTTGCAGCTAATTTCAGGAGGTCTAATAAAACGCAGTGACAGCGACGAAGATACCAGCTATAGCTCCAGCTCGAGTGACTACGAGGCAGCCGTTCTCGGCGAAGTGTTTGCCGAGTCGTTTGGCTGGCCTGAGAAGAGGCCCAAGATACCGCGTTACGTTGAAGGCGTTGTGCGCGCCTATTTGGACGAAGAGCTAGGTATGTCGTTTATTCGTTTTGTGGTCTCTGTAATGCAATTGGAATAATTAGAAGACGACACGCCAAGTACTCCGCGGATGGAAGTCGCCTTCGGAGATGACGATCGCTTTACGGCATACGTGTTTGGTATTAATAGCATCCTACGGCTCGTACAAGTACTTCTAGTTGTCTTCATCGGGCTTATATAATTGTAAGGAAAAATGAACTGTAAGGAAAAACGTCGGGGTCACCGTTAATCAAGTAGTAAACAATCAATTTTTCGTCAAAGCATAAAGTTCCGATCAGAACTTCATGCTTTCAGCAAGATAGCAATGGGGAACCGCAACCACCGCAACTGTTCAAAAGCGAGAGCAGACGCTTTGGAGGCGGTGGCGCTGGGAGCGTTACGCTCGATTTGCTCCGCAGCGCGTGCCACTAGGATGGACCACGTGACCGATCGCTCACGGAGGCCGACCGCTCGACGACCGCTAGCGCGCAGCGCTCGGCATTTTCCAGGGGAAGGGGCTATAAATGTTTACCAAAGGTGGCTGTCCCCTCTCTCTCTCCCGACCTGGCTTCGACAGGTATGCGTACCCGAGGTCCAACCGCAGTCGACGTTACGTGACCCAGTGGGAGCTAATTAAGCCGCGCGAAAAGTGCATCGTCACGGCAGGTACGCCATCACCGGTTGAAACAATCATGTTCTAAAAATAACGCAGGGTCAAGGCGCATTCACTCCGCGTGATTGGTTTAAGATGGTGAGGGCAAACGTACAGATGAGCGCCGTGACGCTACACTTTCGACGCTGCTCGATTGGCTAAATGGATGGATGGATGTTACTGACTCTTTGAAACGGGCGGTAGTTTGCGCCACCTAGCCCATCGGACCATGACGTCCCCTGCGATCGCAATTTGAGATGCACTAAAGTGGTTTCCGAGATCCTCATTTTATGGTGGTAACGCGATCTGCCCGCTGAATGCATCCAAAAAGTCTAACAATTACAGTCATGCGTGGCCTATTTTCCTGCTAAAAAAAAAAAAAAAAAAAACAAATGTCCGAAGTTTGCGGAAATGCCCTTTTTCAGGGCAAATTCCCTGCGTGAAGCGGTGGATCGCACGCGCGGGCGGATCAGCGGAGTAATTCCGGATCCCAAGTAGTCCGAAGCTGCCGCTGTCTCGGACGAACTATACGTTTTAGCAGCTGTTTGTGCGTGCATCTGATGATTCACAATCTGACGCCGTTAGAATGAGAAATCCTTCGCCGGTCAAGGCTGTTTAAATATACTCCAACGTCAAGGAACACAACGCGAGCCGGCGCAAAAACGACGTGGTAATAGCGTCGTCTCGCGCAGCAGATTTTCCTTTCCTGGTCAGTACAAATCATGGGATCGGTGTGATCGTGCTTCCAAGCAGCGATTGGGGGCAGTGGTTAGCAGTTTGAAAAGAAGAAACTAGGGGAAATACGAGTGCACACCAGCGTTTAGTTTCTCAAAACGTTGCACAAACGTCGCCGGAAAAAAATAAAAATTGGAATATCGCGTCCGTCGAAGCTAGCCGCTTGGCAGGTTCGCCGGATTCGCGTTAAGTCGACTCCGGTAAATCCGCCGGGATACTTTGATTGAAGTAATGAGTTCAATATTCCACTGCGACCCTTTTCCTCACCGCTACTATCGTTTACAAACAAAAACACCCCAGTTAAAAAAAAAAAAAAATTGGCCGGCTAAATAGCAGATGTTTGACTGGGTGCACCGTTCCCGTATATTCGACGGCGCTTGTCGTTTCAATCGCGAACAGCATTCGGCGCTTGCGCGGCGTCTCATATCTCCCTCCAACGCACTGATTGGCTCAAATGGACCGTAGCTTTCGCCTATTTGCCGAGTGACGGCCAGACGGATTTGTATAACAGGTATTGAAGAACGATGAGCGTGCTCGTGTGGGTCAGGATCAATGAAGGATGGGGTTTTGTCGACCTTGTATTACATGTTTATTCTTTCTTTATTCCTGACTTACAGCTGCCGCTGCGGTAAAATGTAACCGAACACGGAGTCGGAGATGCAGTCTGATTTGGAACGGTGTTCTGATGCATAAAGTAAGTTAAGAAACTTACACGTGCTTGCGGGTTGTCAATGTCGGTTGTTTGTGTTTTATCACTCTGGTGGGACTAAAGCATTAGAGCGCATGTTTCCCAAAACGAGGGCAAACTTTAGACACCACAGGTATCAGTTCCGACTCCGTGTATACTTGTTACCTGTATTTTGTCTTCATGAACGTCACGGCAGAGAAGACAAATTCGAACCGTGCTTTACCCCCCCCCCCCCCCCCTTCCCTCTTTGCATCTACTGCGAACTAGGGAATCGCGACCCACGGTTTGGCAACCACTAGCATACACAAAGCCTTTACTTATTTTCAGATGCTTTGTCACATCCTCCACAGTTACCCGTTTATCAGACAGATTCAGTTCGCGCGCACGCTCAATGTAAGTTGCAATCACGGACGTGCGAACGGCTCCTTCTTTATAGCTGACACTTGTCCATCCTTTTATTAATTTCTCTATTCATTCATACACACTATTTATGTGACGAAACACTTCCTAATACTCTGCACAAAGTCTTCGATAAATATCAGCTCCAGACACGTGGCCCCAGAAAACAAAAACAAAACTCCCCCACTTACGCAATTCGGAAGCGGAGTAGTCATTGTTTCTCGAACTTTAGACGCGATTTAACTGACTTAACAGGTTCAAACCTGCACACCAGTGACAAGGAACAGCGACTTAGCGACCTCGTACAAAAAGTGCCGATAAGACAGTGAGGAAACAGAAATTCTAAGATAAGCAGAGGCTGGATAATTTCGGAATCACACTTGTACATTACGTCTATGTTTTCGTTATAAAATATTTTAAAAAACGCAGCCCAATATTTTGCTTTTGTTCCACTCATGTGAGCCAGACTCACTTTTGACCATGTGAGCTAATAATCGAAGCGACTTTGCAGGGTACTCACCGCGGCGATAATGGTGTCAATGTCCCTTCTGACGTCGTCTAGAGTGTAGCGGTCGTCCTCGCGATGTTTCTTCAGCAGTAGATTCATCAGCGTGTTCTTATTCTCGGAACAGTCAGTCTCATCGTCGTGTTGATCGTCCGGTGAATATTTCGGAAAAGATTTCTCGCTTTGCGACGCTTGTGATCTTCGTTGTATAATCTAAAACAAGAACAATAAGACATCAACAAGAACAATGCAATCAATCAGCTTTAAAGGCTCGATGACCAGTAAGCGAAACAGTGTAAGCGTACCTTAATAATGCCCGAAAGTAAATAATTATCACTTCTAACCAAGGAAGTCCCGTAGCGGAATCCGGCGAGTATGGCCGCCTCAGTCAGTTTCGGTCTGAAAAATCACTGTCCCAGCATGCAATCGTGTAACCCCCGCTTCGTAAAGGCATGGTTCACAAATTTGATTTTGACTGTGACCGAAGACGTCGTGATCTCTTGCGATCGTTTACAGCGAAACAACGCACCACAAATCGAAGTGAGCGAGTGAAGGTTTTATCAGTGCGTATACAAACAGGACTGCATGCTAGATATCATCTGACTGTGATGGCACCACACATCAGTGGAACACTCTGGCACAGTGGCGCTAACTGTCGCGTAGCCGCAGAACTTGGTGTAACCAGACTGAAGGGTTGGCTTAATTCGCGAGATCGAATTCTACGCACCATCTATAACATATGGTCGCTTATACCGTTGTCAAAATTATTGGAGGCCCGCAGCGAAAGAACGGTGTTTAAAGTATTATGAGAAAGAAACGGATATTGCGAGTGTATCAGGTATACCCGATAAATGGCGGAAGTGTGGTATCTGGTTTTAAGCGACCACAAAAGATCGCAACGTATTTGCTCATGCACAAACTCAATTGTGTAAACTAGTCTTAAAGGTACTGTGCTCGCCAAGCTGATGCGCGGAGCACGGGAAGTCTGTTTTGTCATCGGAGTGCTATCCTGGAAGTAGCCAAGTGACTGCTTTTTCAGGCAGCTCTCAAGACAACATATCAAAGTACTACGCCTCCGAGCCGTTGCTCAGCTACCTCCGGGAGAGCGTTCACGTGAGAAAGTTGGCGTGTTCCGCATGAGTTTAATTAACGCTGAAAGTTAAAATACCTGGTTAGCAGTGGCACTATACTGGCGAAAAAATTGGTTAACTGCGGAGACACCGGACTAATTTTTTTTTTAGGTTGACTAACCCCCACCCTGTCTTTACCTACATTACAAAAACAAATTGATCTGACTGCTGGCAAAGGAGGCTTGAATGCGTCATCTGAAGCAGACGTGCGGGGCACGGTTAGATTGTAATGCAATGGGATTATTTTCTCAAGCAAAGTTTTTCTTTAGTTCACTTTTGGCCTTTCCAGTGCTTATCACCCGGGCGAAAAATGCTGGGTCACTGAGCTGTGGATGCATGGGCAGCGTCCGACATACAGCACAGGAGAGCTACGGCGCATGGTCAAAAGGCGTTCCACAGCCCAGCATGACAAAAGTTGGCAGTGCGCAAATATGCGATCTTTGCAAAAACCTGTAATCACCGACAGCTTAAAAAATAAAAAAGCAACGACTTTTGCAAACCGTTAATAATTAATGTGTAGATTGTTTTTTAGAATGATACATAGCTTACATAAACGAGAAAACACGTTATATTTGTTCTTTTTATAGCAGCAATTTTCTTAGGTGATCGGGACTTCTAAAATGCGATGTACAGAGAGTTTACTTTTAATTCGAACATTTTTTTTTGTTTAAGGAAGGGAGTAAAAGTTAGTCGAGTGCCGTCTTCACCATGTATTTTTAAGGCGCGGCGGGTATTAGATGACGAGTACAATTCATGATAAGGTGACGAACTAACTGAGGTGTGTTCATTAAGTTTTTCATTATTGATTTTGAGGGTCATGTTGCAATTGCAGATTTGATGATAATAACTATCAGAGGTCAGATCAAATTAAACAAAATTTTGCGAAAGAGAAATGTTTCTTTTTTAGATATTAATCAAATGTATTTTCGGGTTTCTTCACCAGTATTAAATGTCACGCTGAGAAGATAGCGCCACAAGCCCACCCACACTGACGTTTTAATCGAGTCTTATCTCGGCAGCGTGTCCTCGGGCATTGGCGGTAGCACAGTCGACACGAGTGACGATGGGACTGGAACGTCTGCGCCACTCTTCTACGCGTCATTCTGGGCAGGGCTCGTGGCGCTCCTATGCGCGTAACTTTTAAATCGTGCGAAAAAAAGTCGAAAATTGATCGATGAATATAAAGCTATGCACCACATTTTCGCAAATTCTTTTAGTAGGTTTGGACTCTAATAGTAATTGCCTTTGGGGGGATAATCCTTAATTCTCTCATTTGGACCCTTAAACCAATAATGAACAAGTTAATTAGCGAACTTACCATGGCGATTACCCCCTCATCTAATGTCCGCCAAGTCTGTCTTAAATACGTGTTGAAAACGGCACGGCCTGAGCCCCACCCTTCTAAAAAGAAATCTGTCCAAATTTGTATTGAAGTTTGTACGTATTCTGATAAAAAAAAGGAAAAAAAAAAAAGAAAACTTCTATATGACTGAAATTTTGCGTAGAATTTTCTTACCGAATGTATGAATTCCATCATTTCTTCGAGGTCACGGTTGTACAGTTTTCCTTCGCTTGAGCTGTCATAAATTTTTTGATTCCAGAACCACGGTCTGAAGAATCGCACGGAAACTAGGAACATCACGCTGAAAAATAAGCAACAGATTACTGAACAAGCAAGATATTTTGGCACCTATATTCGTGTTTTTATCTGACTTTTGTTTCGGGAAAATTTAGCTTCAGACACAAGAAAAAACATCGTACAAAAGGATTGAACGAAGAGAAAAAAATAACAGGACAAGCAGGCGCTTTTTGTTCTTTTCGTCCAGGAGTTTTGTCCGCTGTTTTCTTACGTTTAACGATTACAAACCCGTCCAGCTTACCGCCCTACTTATCTTCAAAACTTCAGTACATAAATAGCACGCCTTGCTACTTACTTTCAGTATATGAACAGTACGTCGCAGTACAAAAGTATTGACTCGTTATTTAATGCAGCTGTTATTAGTTATAAATTGATATTTTTTATGTTAGCTTTTGAACGTTTTTGTTAACGTTGGCTATAAGTCTATGACACATATTTATCCTGTCCATGAATATTTCAGGAATGAGTGGATAACTTGTAGTTTAATTAGCATTCAGGCATGGCCTTAAAATTGCGAGACGATAAAAATATGGTTACTAAACTAATTCAAGCTAAGGAAGCAACTAAAAATTTGTGTAATTTGTAAACAAAAGATCTTTTTTTTTAAGTTTTTGCGGCAAACATAGTGGTAACTGCCTTCTCCAGAATAGTGCGGGAAAAAGCAGTCATGTATTGTTTTGTGGCTTCGCGGCAGTGTTGCACAGATGAGCTCTTGGTGCATGTTTCGAAACTTGGTACTTTCGTGGGCTCCTGTCATCAGCTTGTTCAAAATCGCGTCTCCAGAAGAAAGCCCTGCTAAATCTAGCGCTCCAGCGGGAGTGGAACGCAAAGTTCACGTCTCTTGCGGTGGCACACTCCAGTTTTGACCCTGCTATTTCGCCTTTGCCCGTTTCCTCCGGATCACGCGATTGTTCTTTTCTCCTGCGTCTCCTGCCGCCTTTCATCGCATTTGCTGCGCGCTCGCGGCATTGTGATAACACTTAAGAAATTTGCTTGACACGACATGGCTATGAACCAACCCTACAAAACATTCTGTGTAATGTATAAGAAAAAAAATCTTTTGAGCAGTCATGTCCTGAGAGTATAGGCTGACTTACTCATTAATCATAAATGTATCTGTACGTTTTTCTCTTTCAAAGTCAAGATAGCACTTGATATGTTACACTTCTATTCTGAGTAGTGTAAATGCTCAGCAATGTTGCCAATTCGCATAAAAAATTCCTCTTTTTAAAGCTCAAAATGCGTTATATCCGTTATTATGCCCCTGAAATTAGATGAAGGCTTTAGGTTTAGGCCAACGCTTGTTTGCGTAAACTGTCTCGGTCCTTTTTGTGAAAACCATACCGGTTAAAAGACGACATGAAGTTCAAGTTTTTGTCGTCCTGGAGTCCCAATTTCTCTCCCATCGTGACCTCTGAAAAAAGAAAAAAATTGAAAATAAGACAGACAGTGAAACCTTCATTAGGAAAAATATCACAATAATTAGAGCCATGAATGAAAAAAAATTAAGAAAGTCGCGCGTTTTTTTTTGTTTGTTTTGTTTTGCCTAATGTAGAGGGGACACTCGTAAGCTCTGCATTATCATTTCGACAACCAACTCGTAGTAATCAGCATCGCTACCTCCGCTGGAAGCTTACGCGCACCTCCGATGATGTCCATGGCACATTTCTGGGTGGTCTTAAACAGACGGACGGGGTCCTCGGGCGCTTCGTCAATCGCTTCGCCGATGGTGCGCACCAGCCTGTCGCCGTTCTCGTTGAAGATCCGCAGGTAGTTATCCAGGACGCGGAAGTGAAAGGCGGGAGTCATCAGCTTACGCTTGAGACGCCAGATCTCGTCGGTTCTGTAGAGAGAGAGCCTGGCTTTAACGGAGGGAGCGACTCGAACGATGGAGAGCGTTTGCAATTTAATGGCGGACGATTTCTGCGCAGGTTGGATGCGTGTTCCATTGCGCGCGTTGTCGAGTGGCGATAGGGGAAAGCAGGGGGGTGGAGAGCGGAGCAAGGCGGAAACGCTTCCGGACGAGGTCGGCGCCTTTTTACTCATCCATCGCGGCTTATATTGCGAACGCCGTCTATAAACCACGTTACCCCCGATTGAGCAGTTGGAAACACTCGGAAATCAAGGCACTCGATACTGCGTTTCATGTTAAGTTTGACAGCAGGCCACACGCGACGATCCGTTGGGGTCAATTAGTCAGCACCGAAAGTGCATTGTGACGAACGCGCATCGTCTCTGTGCGCCTGCTATCACAAGCTAAACCAATCACGCAAACAAACGCTAAAAAAAAGAGCACGATCACGCCGTATTTACTGGGCACGATTCGTAGTAGCGGGGTCCTGTAGTCACTCACAGCTAAAACAACGCAGAATGTGGCTAATTATATTCACGCTTTTTTGCTTCATCTAGTTCTTCGGTGTTATTATCGTCAAATGCCGCAATTTCCTTTCTCTGTGGAGCGCAGACTTGTACCGTACGCATTACAAGTAATCAAATTACTGGTAATTGATTACTTTTCGGAGTAATTTTGTAATCAGTTGATTACTTTTATTAGGCAGTAATCACAAGAGTAATCTGATTACTTTTTGAGGTAATAAAATTACTTGTAACCGTTACAATTTGTCCACGGGACCCCCCCCCCCCCCCCCCCCCCCCCCGGGCACACGCCTTTTTTTTATGAAATGAGAAAAATAAAATTTGCTTTTTTTTTTTTCGAACGGAAAAACGAAAGATTTTTGCGGAGCTGTAGGAAACGAGGTCAATATCTTTCTATGTAAAGTTTCTGTGGAATGTCAGTTTTTTTTTTTTTATTTTCGAGCTGGGACTGGGAGTGGGAAGCCCCAGGGAAGCCACAGTGCGTGACAAAGGCCGTTCAGGGCGAAGTTTGAGGAAGCAGAATGCAGCTTTGTGAGTCCTTCGTTCAAACTAGCCCCCTCATGCACACACACACAGAAATAAAAAAAAAATAAAAAATCTTGTTTAGGGTACCTACTCGCAGCCCGTAGGAGAACCAGAACCGAAGAATGCCTAAAGCGGATGCAAAATATAACAAAGGCAGTTGAAATATTTCCTCATTTCCCCTACGTGCTCTTTGTGACAAGCAATGTTTCGAGTTGAGAAGTGGTCGGGGCGATCTCTTCCGCTAATGGATACTACACATGATCCGTTTCAAATCCTGGAGCTGCTGCTCTTTTGTATAACATGCGAGCTCATCCACATGTGAATAATAAAATGAGCGATGCAAACTTTGAGCGACAACCCTGGCAAGATCTAGAAACCCCTCCGCTCCCCCCCCCCCCCCCCCCCCACACACACACACTGGTGAACGCCCAAATGATTAAATGTCTTCAAACGAATTCTATGCTTGTGTCCGCATTGTGAAGGTGCAACGACCACGAAGAGGGAGCCAGTTTTTCTTCTTCAATACTTGTGCAAATGTGAAATATAGGTTGGAAGTAGTTCAGTGTTATGGGCTCTAAAGATGTGTCTTCGCACAATAAACTAATCGGAAAAGTAACGATTACTTCTTTAAGTAATGTCCAATTACTTTTGCCGTCGAGTAATTAAGTAATCTAATGGAATACTTTTTTTTAGTAACGTGTACAAGACTGGTGGAGCGAGACTAAGATGCTCCTTATTCGCCTCGCACTGATGTTTTTTTTAACGCTACGTTGGTGGTTATGCGGAGAGCGTCTGCTTCTTTTGCAGTTGTGGTGACGCCAGAACGACGCCGAGCTTTGATTAGCTCTGATTGAAAGGATAGGGGAGAGACCTCAAGGGCAGCTTGCTTTAAGGTCTACCCACTATCCTTCAAACAGAGCCAATCAGAGCTCAGCGTTCTGACGTCACCACAACCCCTGCAAAAGGAGCAGACAAACTTGCGCTCCGCAGAAGCTCTTGGCGCGTAGGCAACCCGCTCTTTGCTCGAAACTTGTACAGTGACTCTCGAGTCCGTACTTACGAAACAAGAAGGCTGAATGTCCCCAACCACGAGTCGATAAAGTGGTACAGAAACGGCTTTTTGTGGTTTCTGGTGCTCGTTAGAAGTGTCTGAAAGTGAAGAAAACATCACGCCTGTTATTCTTTTTCAGTAATAACTCCAAGTGCCTGGATGACACAGTCTCCTCGATGCGGTACATTCTGCGTATAAATTATTTTTATATTAAATCAATTAAAAAGAAATAATAAGAAAAAATTTCCTGTCTTTGCTAAAAGCTTCTTCGAATCTTCGTGCTATAGTCGTTGACAACTTTAAAAACGCATAAAGGCACTTTTTACGTTCACGTAGCTTGATTCGTAATTCGTTCTACGGCGTAATCTTGTCGCCTAATTCCGGAAGTTGATTGGGTGCTGAGGGTTGATAAGATGCTGACGTCTCGCCACGCACTGCGTTTCCCAAGCTCAGAGTGTCTTTGCTATGAAAACTCCGCCTTTTACTGTCTAATATTTTTTATGTTTACTGTCTAATATTTCTTGATGTAAGAGGGCGATATCAGATAGTGCTCCCACCGTACAAAAGTAGTTTTGTTTTGAAAAGTTTGGAAACAAATTCTGCAGATTGTTCAGCATGGACAAGGACAACTTATAATTTTGACGAAGGTCAGGTGCTCCCTTACGTAATGTTTAATAAAACGCCATATGCCGCGCCTGCAAAAAAAAGAAAAAGAAAAAAAAGAGCTTTGGAAACTGGGAGCATTTAAATGTTATCATCGGTGCTTTGCCATCTTAAATCAGACACGGACTAAAGTTTAAGAAGAAAATGCAGAAAAAAAAAACACACACTGGTTAACAAACTGTAGACAAAGTAGACTAGTTTGTCCGACGACTAGAAAAAAATGTTCCATAGATAACCAAAGATCGCAAGCACAAAAATTGTTCTTGATTCACGCTTTTTTTAACATACCCTAGTTTGGGGGTTATTTGGTATGCCAAGGTTAGAGTATATAAACAGGTAAGTGCATTTAATGACGCCGTTCGACTACGACCTTAACATTTTGCATGGAGCTCATCCTTTGATCATATTTAAGTAATTGTCTCTAGAATTTGTGCTGTAAACGGACGTTTATAAAATCATGCATTTCTAAAAGCTCCGCTCAGATATGGCTTCAAAGTACTGCTTAGAAAGCAACAACGAAAGACATTCGACACCGCTAGCGGACAGACAGGACACTCGATGTGTAAAGCATAGAATGTTTTAACGAAACTTGCCCAAATATTTGTCTGCGCGTCCGTGCATTTCCATACAAACGTAGCGGGGATATTGAAGTCACGTGACCTAACGTCATGTGACTTTATGTCACGTACGACGCCGTGACATAGTGGGACAGGAAGTCGAAATCTTTGTGTCGCGTGATACTACGACGCCACGTGACGTCAGGTCAATTTGCCCGCTAAATTTAGCAGGGAAAGTTACAAAAATAAATGAAATGGTTGATCGCTACTCGAAATGATTGCATAATGCACTTTAAATACATTTAAACAATCGCTTCTGATATTAGCGTATTCCACGAGCATTTTAGAAATTAGAGTGTAAAAGTCGCTGATACATATATTTTTTGTATGTCCCCGCGTTCGTACGATACCACCCAGAGGACGATGCCCGTGGATGACGTCATCGTTAGTGGCCCCCGTACCTGTCGTATTGTCCTTGCCCATCCAGGTCGTATAAATGTCTAGTTTCGTTCAATTCACTCTACAATATACTTCTGCGTTCTTTTCAGTGTTACAGTAAAATATGTTAAAACTCTTTGAAGGGTCAAGCCCAGAGCTTCATCCATAAAAATTAACTTCCCTCAGCCAGTGCGGTATATCTTTGTTTTATTTATTCATTTGACATACCTCAAAGCGTTCTAATAGGGCAGTGTATAAAAATAAAAATAAAAATTTTCCGAGGCTAGAAAAAACGAGAAGCAGGAAAGGACGCACTCGATGCACATAAGAAAATGTATATATATAAAAAAAGCAATCGAACACAATAAGGAAAGGACACCATTTACATATGTGCAGAAAGTTCCCGACGTAACACTCATAAACGTATCCTATTTCCACATACAAAAAAGTGGCAATATCAGGAAGCATAAAAAACAATCAGCACACATATGCTTCAGCTCAGAGGGCAGGAAAACAGCCGTTCACATACTGATGAAAACTTTTTTATCTGCGGTTTTGTCAACAGGGTGATTCAAGGAGACGCCAGGCTCTTTAAATCGACCGCGAAATTCGGTTTCTTAACCTATCGCGCTACGACTTTGTGCAGCGTTGCCCACAGATGGTGCAGTTTTGTTTTTGTGAAATTTGCAAAGAGCGAACTTACCTGAGAAAAAAGTAAAGAAAGAAAAAGGCTTAGCTCCTATGGAAACGCAGCGACGCCACCGGTCTTCAAACAACACGGCAGCGTTTCGCACGGGAGACAAGAGATGGCGCAAGCGGTCGCGACGCCAACTGCCGCCAACGAACAAGCATACGACGCCGAGAGCAGGCGTCTTTAGCAGACAAGGAACTGCAGTTCCTTGTTGTTACAGCGCCTGTTTTTGTTTCTGCGACTGTCGCCGCCCGCGGAACGCGCGCCGCTTATGAGTCGAAAAGATTGTCTGCTAAAGACGGCGGTTCTCGGCGTCGTATGCTCGTTCGTTGGCGCGCGTTGACGTAGGGAGCTTACGTTGGCGGCGTTCGTTGCGCCATCTCTTATCTCCCGTGCGAAACGGCGCCGTGTTGTTTGAAGACCGGTGGCGTCGCTGCGTTTCCATAGGAGCTAAGCCTTTTTCTTTCTTTACTTGTTCCTCAGGTAAGTTCGCTCTTTGCAAATTTTACAAAAAAAAAACCCAAAAAAACCCACCACCTTTGGGCAACGCTGCACAAAGTCGTAGTGCGATCGTTTAAGAAAACGAATTTTGCGGTCGATTTAAAGAGCCTGGCGTCTCCTTGAATCGCCCTGTACATTCGGGGAAAACGCGTTCCAGCCTACAATGGCAAGCTGTATCGAAATGTTTCCGCCAACAAATCATGATGTTAAACCTTCAAAACATCCCTGTGTTATGGAGCATGCTCGCCGAACAAGACAGAATGTACGCACGTACCTCGGCTGCATCTGGAGTGTGTATCACTACTAATGGTGTAAATCCGATGTAAACCTTGAAGGTTTTGTCTGTATACTCCTGGCATATGTCACGCATCTGGTTGAATATTTCTAAGGAAAAAGGAAAAAAAAAAACGTTGGGATGAACAAATCGGCTTTCATATTTTCTCTTATAATTAATTTGATAGGTAAAGCTTTGATATGATGATTTTAAGGAAGACTATTAAGTGTTTTCAGTCTCCCTTTACTTATGATCAGACTATTTTTATTATTTTTAACTGCACATAATTGCTTCAGGTTTGTGTAAGAAACACCACAACTATAAGCATCATCCTGGTAACGGGGGAAACGCAGAAAGCTTTGTGCATGTTTTGATATATAAAGACTATCAGCATTATACCAATGACGAAAATAATCCCTGGAGAAGGGGAACAAGGTGGACAAAGGACGAACACAAATCTCCAAACACAGCTAGGTGACTGGTGCGTGACCGAAAAAATCCGCCTGGTCCGGACCGGGACCTCTCCATTTCCAGTGGAGCGCTCTACCACCTGAGCTCACCAGGGGTTAGACGTCAGTAGAGCAAACATGTTTTATCAGCTGCCACCAGCCTAACACCAACAAGGGTGAAAGACTTGCAATTAAGGGTTATGATTACAATGCAATTCAATGCAAAGGTGCAAGCGAGCTGTACAGGTATGACGAAAATAATCCCTCGAGAAGGGGAACAAGGGGGACAAATGACAAACATAAATCTCCAAGCACGGAATTATTTTACATCACGACTAAACTCGAATGTTCCGGGTGGAATATGAGTAGAATATAAATAACTTACATTGAATACGACATTTTTAAACCTAACCGAACCACTCAAGAGTGCACCAAAAGCTCAAATCTTTTTGCAACAAAAAAATGTATCCCTCCCCCCCGAAAAAAAAAAAAAGCTGCCATAAAAAAAAAAAAAAAAGTCGCTGTGCGGTATTTAGGGCAATCCGAAGTCTCTATTACTTTTAATGACCACTAAAAATGCATTATTACTTCAATCGACAGAAATATTGGATCGTCAAGTGCTCAGTTGAATGCAAGGGCTATTAGTATTCAACCAGCTGGCGGATGCAAATGCTTTCTGCATGGGAAACGTTCAAGTCACATGTCGTCTCCGTTCATGATGTAACTGCCTTATTTTTAAAATTGAAACGAGATGAATGCTCTAGTATGTTTTTTTAAATCCGATTGAACGAGTGTCAATTGTAAGGGATCTTGGTGTGTTCATTGACTGCGGATTAACTTTTAAAAATCATGTCCCTTTGTTGTCAGCTCTGCAATGAAAGTTCTAGGAGTTATATCGCGTTTGACCAAGCATTTTAAAAAGCCCCATTGTTCAATACATCTTTTTTTTTCCTTAATGGTTTCAAGGCTTGAGTTTGCTTCTGTGATTTGGAATTCAATTTCTGTAACACAGGCTTTGATCACAGAACATGTGCAAAAAATGATTTGTTCGAATTGTTTATGATAGATGGATTGGACGACGCGTGTATTATGACTATGAATGCTTACTGAATAGATTTTCGCTGAAGCTTTATCACACAGAAGAACAGTCCTTGACTTGGTATTCCTGCATAAGATCATTAATGGTGCCATTGATTCTTCATGGCTTATTAGTAAAATCCATTTCCATGTTCCTTTCCGTGCGACGAGACAGCTCACCTGTTTTGATATTTGCTCACCATGCCGTGTGTCACCTCTTTCTCGTTTACAGACATTGTATAACAGCATTGTGCCACCTCAAATTGACATCACAACACCCCTGCCTACATTTCGCTGTCAGTTGGACGAACTTTTCGTCACTTCATAGCGCGTCAGTGTATATGCATATCTATTTCTTTTTAATGAGTAGGATTTTTGTTTAAGAGTTTTTATTGTACGAGTTGGTGTACCTAAGAGAAGGCCGCTCGGCCGTTTTAGGGCACCCGGAAAAATAAAGATTATTATTATTAAACAAAAATTCTCAATTTTAATCTTTTAACATTTTTTGTAAAATATTGGATATTTTCCCTAAATAAAGTAATAACGCAAATTTCTGAAATTTTTCTCAATTTAAATGACAGAAAAGGGGTAATCAGTAGATAAATATCCGTAACTATGCGCTGCAAAAAAAAAAAGAAGAAAAGGTTAGTTGCTGATTTTTGTTTTAAAGTACGTTTAATTAAAATTAGTGTTTGGCAGTAGGTTAAGTTGATAAGCAGTAAACCGCGAAGCAAACACGTTAATGGAAAATAAACAGCATACAGTACTCACTCGCAGTCGCGCCCTTATATTCCAGCTTGAACTTGAACCTCTCCTTTATAGCGACGAGCAGAAACCAGAAGGGTATGAGGTCCCAAGGACCGGGCATGGGTCTCAGCGTCTTCCACATCCTGAACCAGCCAAGGACACGAGGAGCGACGTAGGCGCACGCTATTGAAGCCAACAGCCACGGGGCCAGCAGCCTGACGAGCGGCCAACCATAAAGCGAAGACGCCTGCAGAAAATTAAGTCCCATCCCGAGGCGGAGCGACCGATCTCACTTTTTTGGATACTGAGAGCACACCCGACTCGCGTACAGCGGTTCAGTTGGAGGTTGCAATTGCTGCTTCTACGACAGTGATTTGGACGCTTGCGAGTCTGTGGGGGCCTCTTTAACGGGAGTGTTTCGGGTTCTGCGTTGAAAAGTGTAAGAGAGGGGAGGGGGGGGGGGGGGGAGGGGGGTGATGTGGGGGAACGACACGCACGCTTGGTACAGTACAATAACTTTGTTTTTGATGCGCGAGAACAATGGGCAGGAGGGTGTGGAAATACCCTGATAATTTTAGCCGATGTTGTTTGAGTTTCTTCACCTTAATTACCGAGAAAGCGATTACTTTTGGCGCAGGTCTGCAACGCTGTTTTACTACAAGCTTTTATAAAGGTAAATTCTGAGGGGGCTGTTAATATTCTTTTTTTTGACGTGATGGATGATGCAATGCCTGTATAGATCTCGCATCCCAATTATTGTCGGTGGTTCTTGTAAATAGAAATATTGGCAGTTCCTGAAAGAACCTAAATTGCCAGCTGATCTGATACACAGTGTAGGACGACATTGTACTTCCTGCGTTAAAGGCGTATGCAAACTGGCGCCGTGGTCCGTGAAAGTTCGACCACTCTGTCAAAAAAAAAAAGCTGTACTCTTGTTTTGTCTTTCAGTTTGTACACAACAGTGAGCCGTTGCCAGACGTGTTGAGCCGGAAAGGTGGAAGCGATGGGACTGGCACACCCTCTGTCCACGTGCTCGGTGCGTTTCTCAGCGTCCGGGAGTCGAGACCAGTCGCCCGTCGCGACCGTGCGTCTCCACGCAAGCTTTGCCGAACAAAACCGTGACCTCCCCTCCACCCCGCTCGAGACCGCGATTGGTAGCATCTAGATGGTTTTGTCATGGAACACTTCGCGGGGCGGGTTGCCGTGGCTTGCCGTCACTTCTCGCGGCAAGAAGTGAAGCCTCCACGTTTTTTTTTTTTTTTTTTGAGGGAGTGACAAAACGTTCACGGACCACGGCGCCAGTTTACATACCCCTTAACACGGCTACTTCATTTGAAATCGGCTAGAGTATAAATTTCTTGTTTGACCCCGAATATTTGCTCAATGAAGTCACCGTTCTATCTGCAGCAATGCCTCTCACAGCCATCGTACATTGTGCACGTTATTCCAAGCGGAACGTCTGTTAACCGAGAGATAGGTATGTTTATTAAAACAAACACTTAATAAAACAACAAAAACACGTAAAAATGAAGTAAAATTAAGAATACGAACTCCCCCCCCCCTTTATTGAGATTTGCCCGCATTATTGAGATGCCCAATTAAAAGTTTTAGTTGTGCTAAAGAAAGATGACTTAACGCTTCGCAAATCGGGTTGTTTCAATCAAAATCCAAAGGCACTGAAATGAAGAGACCACCCTCCATACCCTGAAACAATTTTGTTTGCGGTTGCTTTGCCTTCGCTTTGTCTCAAGCCAGACAGACAGGGCCTTTAGCCACAGTCACTCTAAAGCATACAAAAGACACGGCGTTCGCGGCAGCCAGTATGACAAATCCATTGGCGGACAGGCCTCAAGAATCTTGGATGCATGTGTGCTCCATACACATGAATGTTACGAACATGTTTGCAGGCAGTGTTTGTACGACCATCACCGCAGTCTCTGCAGGCTTTCTTTTGTGCGATGCGTTAGCAGCTATGATAGCGGCTTTCTGGGACTGTGACTGGCGTCTCGGTGCCATCGGCGGCGCTTGAATTTCCCGGTACTTTGTGGTGTTGTGAGGGAAAAGAACACCAGCCTTGGAGATAGCCTTCAACTTTCTCGGCAAAATTAACGGTTAGTTTTTCTTGCCTCTCGAGTGGGATACGATCTTGTCACAGGATGCTTTTCTTCCTGGTTCTTGCTCCCGAGAGCTAATTTGTTTTCTGCTTTCAAATAGCTTTTTAATTTGGCGAATATCCGACCAACAACGAACGTAAAAGGTGTAAATGCACTGGGACTTTACACAGGTTGCTAAGTGGGTTTGTACTGCTCGGGTGGTCGCTCATTAATTGTCAGCGTAATCGCAGCTCCTAACTGCCACGTGAGGACATCACGCGGAATTTTGAAATCTCAAACTTGTAAAACAATAATTGTAAAATGTTTTTTTTTTTTAAATTTGCATATATTAAATTGTCTTTCTACGCAAATGATTTAACACTTCCGGTGTTAAATCATTTATCATACAGGGTACTTTCTAGTGGGTCCCGAAGAAACAACAAAAGGAAAACTTGCGTTAAAGTCTTTTTAGCGCTGGGGCTAAGTTAGTGGCCATGGGGGTAGTAGAAAAAAAGGACCGAATGACTTAATAAGTAAGCTAATGAACTAAATTTTTAATTAACTCGTCGTTTTTATTTTCTAAAAATAATTTAATTTTTGATTTATTTATTGACACTACACTCATGTTCGCAAGGCATTACGGAAAAGTGAGAATGTTGGTTACAAAAAACAAAAAAAAAAACAGAACTGCTTTACTAACTGATGGGATCTTCGCTTGTCACGACGTCTTCGGGAAGGCCAGTCCATAATTGTGTCGGAGAGGAGGGCACGTTGAGAGGCTATAGAGAAACGCTGTAGCCAGGTTTTTTTTATTAGAAAGATCAACCCTAGAAGGAGTAAAGGCAGGTGGAGATTGAAGGAACGGGGTTTAAGAAAGAAAATAATCTTAATGTGAAGAAAGGAAGACGGAAAGGATTGAATTTAACACACTGGAGAAACGGGGTTACCAGATTAAATAAGACGCGTAGCACGGTTTTGGACGCCACATAGAAGATACGTGTTCTAGCTTAGATCGCATCAATGTAAGATAAATAAACCATCTGGGGTTAGGAGAGACGGACCTGAATTGCGAAGAAGAAAGCCTAAACTTCGAAATCAGCAGAACACAGAACGGAGTCGATATGGGTATCCCAGGAGAGGTTTGAAGTCATTAATACAGTGAAACACCTACAATATGGTACCAAAGCGAAACAGGCAAAGACGGCCTGTGACCTCTACCTCGCCCCGCACCGGCTCCAAAGAATCACGTGATCAAACCGCCGGTGACGGAAGGCAAATATACTGTATTATTTATTTATTTATTTAAACACGTTACACACCCTCAAGGGGAATTATGTAAAGGAAGGGGGGGGGGGGGGTCGCAACGCAAACTAAGTCGAAAATAAATCGAAAATATTGAGCACTAAAAACGCAAAAATATCAACCACACTTAAGTGAACATGCATCAAAGGCCCTAGGAAGTAGTTACATCTTGGCGACGAAAAAGAACTTGATTACTTTGACACACAATGTTATAGGGCAGGTCGTTCCAGTAAGCAATGGCCGATGGCAAAAACGAGCAGAAAAACAAGGATGAGTTACAAGAGATAAGTTTAATATTATATGAGCTATCGATGCGTGCTGTAACATATAACGGTTGAAAGAGAAGTGGTGAGTGATGCGGATGGCGACTAGTAAATTTTATGCAGAAGACATAGCTTTGATACCATGCGGCGTATCTTAAGTGAATGGAGGTCAGCGCGAGTTTTGAAGTCAGTTACACTGGTATGAAGTGAGTAATCAGAAAACAATGAAACGAACGACTCCGTTTTGAAATGCTTCCAGTGAGGCAGAAAAGTAATGATAATGAGGGTGACAAATACTGCAAGCGTATTTCAGGATCGGTCGAACAAGCGTGACGCATGTTAGTCGTTTGAGAAAAGATGGGGCAGAATTACGGTTATGTTTTAAATACCCGAGACTGTGGTTAGCTCTTTAAAAGAATGTAATTAACATGAATGTTCCATGATAGATCACAGGTTAGGTGAACCCCAAGGTATTTTTAATATTGAACAAGGTATTTTGAATATAACATTGACTAGGGTACCAAAAACCACAATTATAAGGGCGACTGAATCGAATGTGCTTGCATTTAGTAGAGCTTAAAATCATGAGCCAGTTAGAACACCATAAACGTATGTTTAGTAAGTCACCTTGAATGTAGTAGAATTTGATGGGTTACTAATCCGACAATAAGTAACGCAGTCATCATCGAAAAGACGAATTAGTGAGGTCACGGAGTTAGCGAAATCGTTTATATACATAGAAAAAAGAAGCGGGCCCAGCACACTACCTTGAGGAATACCGGAGGCGACGGGCACAGGATTTGAACGATGGTTGTTAGCAATAGTCTACCGGGTCTGATTATGTAAAAGGTCTTTAATCCATTTTAATACATGCGGGTCAATATTTAGTGCAGATAATTTTGAGAGGAAACGCTGATAAGGAACGCGATCAAAGGCCTTAAAGAAGTCGAGAAAGATAGCATCAGTAACCTGGTTGCTGTCCAAAACCAGCTAGCTGTGTGTTGTATTTTAATATCGGAGCTCAAAGACCGCTGGACAAAAGATCAGCTGTTTCACCTTTGTCTTCTATTTACTCCTCGTCTTCTTTCTTCAGCCCCTGCGAGCACTCCTTTCCAACCGATACCAGACACAACCTAGTTCCCCCTTTAAGAAAAATTCCTTGAGGGGAAAATCTGTCCGGTGGATTCCCGCACCTGTTGGACCTTCGTAGAGTTAAGTGAAGTGGTTGTTCCGCATCTGCAGCATCTTCCCCGGACCCTGTGTTGTCCTCATGTGACTGTGATCTGACTGGAACATATGCTCGCAATAACCGCGACGAATTCCAACATTTTCCTCCAGATATAACAAACGTGTTTTGGCCGACTGCTTTTTGAATTCGTTCGGGTTGTCCAAACGCTGGTGTTCCCTTCGCTTGGTGTGTGGGAAGTTTCACGCGCACATAATGTCCCACGCTCCCTTTAAACGGTATTGCTCTGCGTCTCTCGTCTGTGTACTGCTTGCTCCGTCGCTGGTAATCGGCGATGTTTTGACGGAGCTGCTGCATCTCGATATCAGCCGGTTTCTCAAATTTTGGGAAATCCGACGATGTCCATTTTCGTCCGCATTCGACG